AAAAGCTCTCCATTTAAGCGATCGTCTATATAGAGAGAACAAGGAATCCCTTGAGCACTCAAGAAACCTGTGGCGGCCAGACCAATGGTATGATAAACATAAGGGGAGATTTTCCATCCGAACGGAAGAGTCGTACAAACAAACCACAGGCCACCAAAACTAAACCCAAAGTATGATCGCGAGGCCTTTGTCAACATCACGTGATCATACCCGGACTTGTCGTCGCACTTGGTCATGAACGATCCAGGGTAAACATACCTAGTCACTTCACTCAGTTTATCCAGGGAAAACGGCATATCTTTCATCCAAAGGTTTAGAAACCTCGCGTCAATACAAAGTCGAGGCTTCGTAGGTTCGACCGTGAGTGGCAACACAAGATGGGGGGGATCATCGACACCCACTACCCCCCAGACTCTAACCGCGCCGGTTAAAACACGATTCCGAATCTCCTTGGATATAAATTCCGTAAAATTTTATAGTTTACATGATTCGGGAAAATCTTCTTAGGTGGAACAGTAGACGAATATTTAGCTCTCTTGAAAACTCCCGCAAAAGGTCTTGAAAAACTTAAGATGTCGACTTTATTTCTAATCCAATCTAGAATACAGTTCCTCACGGAAGACTCTCAAGTACCAGCTCCCATGCGGCTGAATTACGGTGAAGACCACCTGCCACAAAGGAATCCGGATCCCTTAAATGTAAAAGTCCCCAGATCCGGAACCTTACCAGATGAGATAACACTTTCCCAACACACAGCTGCACCCCCCTGAACGGGAACCCCAGTCATATCCACCCATAGGGTCTCGTTTCTTGGCTTAATTGCCGTTGTCTGTAGTTGAAATTCCGTAAGAACGTAAAAGTTATCCACAGCAGCTTTACGCTTAGTACCACCCAAAATCTAAGGAAGAGATGGCAAAAAGAGAGATCACCCATGGGAAGACCTGGGGTTCCCGATCAGGAGGGAGCAGCCTCAATTCGCCTGAAAACAGGTCGTCTGGTGGTCACCATATGTGATGAACCAGCAGGAGCTACTCTACCCCGATCCAGAACTTACAAAAGTGAATTAAAAATTGAAACAACAACAGACACCGATTGACACAATGAAAAGGGAGCCTTTAATCCCGGGAAACACACGGCATAAATACTGGAAACTGACCAAAAACATTGGGAAAACGCCTTAATCCTGTCACTACATTCATTGTTTTTGAGGTGCCTCAACCCCTTGATTATAAAGGCGAGGCCTCTTAGACTGAGGACCTGGCTGTGGACGCGAGGAACAGAACCTCTGATAATGCCCATATAGGCCACACTGAAAACACTGGACTTGTGATCTATCCCTGCCTCTCCCCCTTGGCATGAAACGATTTGCACCAACTCCAGGCACTCGCAACGCTTTATCTACGGCAGCAATCCGCTTGAGTACCACTTCATCCTCCTTATCTCCTAAGAGGGCTTCAAGATAGCGCTTAAATTGCATGTTTGAGGCCCACATTTTATTTTGCATTGCTGTTAGCACTGCAGAATAAAATCCAGCTTTCGCGTGTTTTGTTTCCTTGGCCACAATCTTCAGATTCACTAGGTAATCAATTGCCTGGTCCTTCTGGAACAACGGAGAACGTACTAGGTGCTGTAAATCCTCCAACACTGATTCAACAGATTGCTTTTGGGAATCTTCCAACTTCTTAAGTCTCTCTAAGACACGAGCAAGATCACCCTCCTCCTATATAACAGATTTCAAAAGGTAAGATAGAAAAAATCACTGATCCATTCATTCCCTTTCTTTCCATTACTCAATCTCATAACTGATCGAGCACAGTATAATACAGGCTGAAAAAGAACAACACCGATTAGATTACAAGTTATGAAATATTACATTACATTAGGTTAGATTAAATTAAATAAAAATTAAATTAAATTATCAAAACCTCAAACTTCCAGCAAAAACGATGAACGCTCCTAGCCTCACAGGCCAAAAACTGTTTTAAAAACACACAACGGCAGAGCAGTCTTTCGTTTTTTTTTTTTTTTTACATACCGTACAACTAAAAGCTACTACACGTAAGCTTGCACAAGCAAATGAACGGCGACTGATGCTCAGGCATCACACTCCAACGAAGCAAAGTACGGCAACAGAACTTTCTACATCAGCAAGCAATTTCTTAAACGAGGGGCTACAAAGTAAAATTCAAGCCACAAAAACAAAAAAGGCTAAAGGAGAAAACATTTATTCTTGCGCGCCAGCATCACACTACCTCAACCGGAGGTGAACATAAAGCATTTCATTCCAAAAAACAAAACACCGAAACTATTTTCGACCCCAGAAGCACAAACAAAAAATTTAAATGACAGTGCAGACAAAGAAAATTTCACGGCCTCGCAAGCAAAGAGAAAACCTTTGATTCCCGCAGACAAAGAAAACTTTAACAGCCCCGCAGACAAAACAACTTTCGCGGCTACGAAGACAAAGAAAATTTCTCGGCCTCCTAAGCAAAGGAAACTTCCACGGCCCCGCAGGCAAATAAATCCAAACGGCCTCGCAGGCAAAGGAAAACTTTCAGCACAGCCCCACAGGCAAAGAAACTTTCACGGCCACGCAGACAAAGAAAACTTTCACGGCCCCGCAGGCAAAGAAAACTTCACAACCCCACAGGCAAAGAAAAACTTTCACAGCCCCGCAGGCAAAGAAAACTCTCACGGCCTCGCAGGCAAAGAAAAAACTTCACGGCCCCGCAGGCAAAGAAAACTTTCACGGCCTCGCAGGCAAGTAACTTTAACGGCCCCGCAGGCAAAGAAAAAACTTTCACGGCCCCGCAGGCCTGACACAATTTCACATCTACAGAAAGTAAACCAAATCTAAACTCTACCGATAAAAATTAGCCACTGAAATATAATCAACCACATGGTATCCGAAACAGAAAAAGATGCATACCTCTCGATCCTGAGCTTGCTGCGCCACGGCAGGTTCGCCTTGAGCAGGTTGAGGATTTTGAACAACTTGAGCTATCGCTCCACCGGCAACGGCTTGGGGAACTTGTTCCGCCATGTCGGATTGATCCGTCGAAAAAAGTTATAGAACGCTTCAAGCAGTACACAGCCCAAGGCCTCAAGTGAAGAGACAAGGAGTGATACAAAACACTATTATATCCAAAATCCCTAGGGACTAATTACCAATGCTAATTGAGTTAGCATAGAGGCCACAGATTTCCTTTGTTACTTGGTAATGGATACCAGCTTCTATACAAAGGAACAATTCAAAGCCTTCAAGAGTACGGAAGCTTACAACCTAATGATTTCGGGTTTTATCACTAGTGTTCAAGGAAAAGTCATCTGCGATAAGTTTGTGGTGATCGCGGAGGTGCGACATTCGCAGCGCATGAATGAGCCTCCTCTTCCAGTTTGGATTATTACAAGTAAAGAAGGTACTGTAATATCAGCACACTGCTTAGGCTGTAAGGCAGGACTTTCCGAGACTTGTAGTCATGTTGCCAGTCTTTCGTTCTACATTGAAACTTGGACGAGAATAAATGGAAAGCTAGCGTGCACTCAAGTGAAATGCACGTGGTTACTACCGACGTACGTAAGCGAAGTCCCTTACGTGAGGGTCCAGGATATAAATTTCCAGTCCGCTAAAAATCTAAAGGAAAATTGAGATGATAAAATAAAAAAATTATCCGAGACATGTCCAAACGCTACAACCGCCCAGCCAACTTATCTTAACAACCCGGAAATGCTTAGTCCTAGTGTCCTGCCAAATTGTTCTTCTGCTGTCCCATCCAAGACTGAAATGGAAACACTGTTTGCAAAACTCAATGAATGTAAGATCAAACCTGTAGCCTTAAGCTTAGTTCAACCGTACAGTGAACAATTCATACTCAAGAGCCGAGACATACCAACTGTCTGTGACTTACTTCTGACATATCCAGAACTTTTAAGAAAGTGCGCTGAAATTGAGTTAAGTATGACTACTGCTGAAACACAAATTACAGCCAAGAACGTTATTTCTATTTTTAACTACTAACAAATACAGTTTGGATAGAATAGTGAACAATTAGTGTTATATTTTTAAAGTTTAGTTCGGAGTTAAGGGAAAGTCGAAAGTCTCGGAAGTTAAGTGACACCCCTATGTCAGTGTAAGAGAAGAGGATAGAGACCCCTTTTAGGGTTCTCATTATGATTGGATATTTTGCAAGAGAAAGTCAATAGTTAACCGCTGAACAGAGCTGTTAAGGTATGATTTAAACGACAGAAATAACACTCATGATACTCCTACCAATTCAACTACCTTATCAAACAGCGTGCAATATTCTTACCAAGGAACGACTCCTAAGAGTAATACAGAATTATCCTTAGTAAACTTACTTAATCTCACTTCAGACAACAACTTAGCTCACCAATGACACAATCTTTGCATCAGGGCTATTCTCGTAAGGTCTTTTAGAATGAAAGATTCGGAAAAAAGTCATCTATTCCTCTTTAAGGAATTTTCTCATTTTTCATTGCAAACACCATTTCTGCTCCACCAAAAACTTCAGATCTTAAAATTTAGTTTCTTTTGGTCTTACTACACCTTGCATTTCACAATTTTTTTACATTTCGCTTCCCACAGAAATGTCATTTTCCTCTTAGCAAGAATCTTCAAAATTGTATATAAAATTTTCAGTAATTCATTTTTCAAAGCTAAGACGATTGCACGAGTAATGTGCCAAGTATAATTTTTATTAGGATAACGTTAATTTTTAATTAATAATACTTTCAGTGTAAAAGTATTTCGAGTTGGTATCGCAGGTAAATGCGGTCTTACGGAAAGCAGTTTATGCGCCGGATAGCTCTCCTAAAAACAAGCCGGTTTTGCCGCAAAACAACATTTTAGCAATTTACTAAAACTGTAGACAACTATGGCACTCTGAGCGAGATCTCATCAGTCTAGTTCATTGGATTTTTTTCCGCGCTGTCCTGCCTTTCGGAGTTGAGCCAGAAAATAAACTGAACTCCAACGCTTGTGTCGAGCATGCGTGTAAGTGCTAAACATGTTAAAGAGAAAATGAGAGTATACTTTATCGGTAAACTGATAAAAGCGTTACAGCGTTTAAGAATATAAAATCAATTGAGTCATAACGTTCCAGCCTAATTGCTTCACACAAAATGGCTTTTTCTACCAAGTAAGCGTGTGAGGAAAAGATGATTCAGCCCTGAAACTTGCTGAGGCAAAGTGTTCAAACTGTTAGCCGGTCATATACCGCGGAAATCTATCTAACTACACCATTAAATCCTCGACGTTTGCATACAACTGCTTGTCGTACATTGTCATGTTGATCAGCTTCTGCAAAAAAGAATAATATAATAATTGGCATCATTAAAAAAGTGTTCCTCTTACGTTATAAGCGTTTATCCTCCCAAGTGGTCAGCTTTTCACACCAAAACAAATTCAAGAAAGTATTTTACGGTGTCGTTTGCTGCTCTTTGTGCGTCTCAATACAATTTTGCAATAATCCTACCATCTTTTAAATAACCATAATGAGTCAATTGTCGCAAGGACATTCTAGTTCGCTTCCTCCTTGTTTTTCGTGGAGTGCTAGCTTCAGTATAACAAGAAGATGCAATCCCAACTTCGTAAAAAGTACGCTATCTAAGCTAAACGCTATTAAGTTTAAAACCCTAATTAGCTAAGCCTAAGTTAGTCGGTCTAACGTCAAAAGAAACTTTCATGTTGAAGAAAATTCTCACCTTGTGTAGGGTTTCCATGTCCTTAAGCTGATTTTTCAATTCAGTAAAAGTTGGTCTTGCATCTGGGTCATTCTTCCAGCACTTCATCATAATCTGATACCTGGTATTGTTCAAATGATCTGTTAGAGATTTAAAGAACGTTTCCTTGTAGGATGAGAGAGAACGAATTGAAAAAACACTTACAATTCCTCATCAACGTGTTGTGGTTTAGGCATCCTGTATCCTTCCTGAAGTAAGTTTGCAATTTTTCTTCCATCCATTCGTGGGTAAGGTGAACCACCTGGAAGAGCCATAAGACCATCGAAATATAAATGCGACGAAAAAACGACCTTCACTGAAACACCACCCATGTCATTTGATGTTTGAAGCTTTTTACGTTTGTCTAAGTGAACACCTTATATTGCTTAATTGAACATGGTATATAGCAAAAAACATAGACAGGGCCTTATAAATTTCCATTCGATGTTACCTATGGTAAAAATCTCGTACAGCAAAACTCCATAACTCCATCTGCAGAAAGACAAATCAAACAAATATATATTGGGTGACTGAAGACATAAACATTTTATACGACAACTAAAATATATGTATTCTTTGACAAAGCATAGAATTCATGTCCTGATTGAAACTGATAAAACTTAGAGAAAGATGTTTTTCGTCTTGTCACGATTGTGGGACGAAGGAAAAATTTTGAGTCCCCACGAGGAATTGAACCTCAGACCTTCGGATTCCGCGCTCCGATTCTCTCTCTTATTTTTATTTACAAACATGACTCTATCGACATTGCAGATCCTTGCAGTATGCAAGAGAATAGAGTCGTAGAGTCTCTGTGGCTCAGTGGTATGAGCATCGGAGCGCGGAATCCGATGGTCTGAGGTTCGATTCCTCATGGGGAGTGAAGAATATTTTCATTGTCCAACGCTCGTGAGAGGATGAAAAACATCTTTCTCTATTTCTTTACCGAGCCCAAAACTTACCCTTCCTCTTATTCTATTGGTAAAACTTCTTGGAAAATTGCTACGGGTAATAATCGGGTATACTTACACATCACTTTTCGTGGTATATTTACCATACATCAAGGCCTCATAAGCTGTCCACTTCACTGGGAGACGGCCCTAAAGATTTCAAATATCACTTTTTGAAACAGCTAAAAAATTATAGGAAGCGACCGGTCAAAGACAGTGATATTTAAAATTATACTCGTATACAAATGGCTGTTTTCATTATGGTGCCATCCAAGGATTTTGTCATCGAAATCAGGAGTATATCAGCTTTATCACAACAATGATTGTGAAAGATAATTAAACTGAACGATATGTAGTACCGCCCCCACCTCCCCTCTTTCTTGATTACCTTAGTCTTTCGTTCATAAATATTTTCCTGCTGCACATCTCTGGCCATTCCGAAGTCTGTCACTTTACAAGTTTCCTTTTGTCCAACCAACACATTACGAGCCGCAAGGTCTCGGTGAATGATCTAAGAAAGCATTGATACGAGAGAAAAAATTAACGATTTCAGAAGAAAAAGAACTGAAATGAAATGATTCAGATAGGAAAATAGAAATATCCAGCGACATAATATGGTGTGTGTATTTCTCTTTCTTCCAGATGGCAGAAAATTAAAATTACTATAGTTACTGCTCCATCTTCCAAAGGGAAGCAAACTACTTCATTTCTGCAATACCTAATTATTTCATAGAAAGCTTATCTTAAGATTTTATTCGAAATAGGATTCTGTAATGTAGCAGTTTAGCAACCAAAGACGAATTTTTGAATTTCAAGTTTTAATTCCTTTTCTTTCTTGTCACTAAAATGGATATTCGTTGTACACTCAGTTTAGGCTGAATAAAAGATCCTATTCATTCAAATCTCTGCCTTTGCCTACACGAGAAAAACCCAGATATTTAATTTCGATGAGGTGCCCTTGCAGCGATGCACAAATATCGCCATTCGCACACTGAAATATAACTTTGGTGATGACGTCAAAACTGGTAGGGTTCCCGGAAACAGCCTCAACGAGACGGTAAGAATACGTTTGCATATCCCGGGCGTGATCTTGTGAAGACATATTATTCTATGCAAGACATAGCTTCACATGACGATACACCTTACAAGAAGGTTTTAAAATTGTTCTTCTTTGGTGCCTTTGTAATTAACTTACAGATTTTGAGGACAAATAACTCATTCCATCAGCAATTTGCCAAGCAAACTTCATCAGCTGCTGTGACGTCAGATTTGTTTGTGGTTTGATATCCGGGTCTTTGAAGTAAGTGTCTTTTAATCCAAGGCTCTTTCTCAGGTAACCCAGCAGATCCCCAAAAGGCACATATTCAATCAAAACCAGCAGCTGTTCTGAAGAAATTAAACAGTTTCATTTATATATTTCTCCCTCTAAAAAAATTAGCAATAAGTAAAATAAATAAATAGCACAGTCAGGTTCAATACTTTTGAAGAAATCGCACGAAAACAAAATGTAGTTTTACGAAGAAAAGCTGAAAAACTTTGTAACGGTCTCATAAGAAGATACAGGCCAAATGTTCCCTTAGAAAAAACGATTCTGCTCATACAACAGAATGGCTTGTACAGTGGCAAATATTTGGTCTTCGTCGCAAATCCAAGAGCGTCGCTGTTAGCTAAAAAAGGATAAAATTACCATATGCGATGATTGTTTGATGTGCGCATAGTTAGTAGTATGAGTATACTAACCAATTGTTAAGTTCGTATTAACTTTTAACGTCTTTGAACTGGTTACTCATTATGGTGGTACTACAAGAAACACCCGCAAACCGTTTTTCAGCTTGAAAAAAAAATTGTGTAGATATTTCATGTATTCAGGAGGGAGTGGAACGTTACAAATCAAGGCAGGAAACATATCAGTCCCAAGCTAAGCTATCCAAAATATATTCCTTAGAGCAGACCGGAACATAGCTGGGATATTCTTGAGTATTTTTAACCATCCAAAGAGTAAACTGTAATGCCTAAATACTTAAAAACGTTCGAGAAAACTTTCGTGTACTAAAATTGTTTAAATCGTTTACCCCTCCCCTCTCTTTATTCATGTGGTCCCCCCCAAGCATCCGATATATATCTATTATCAAAGACTGTGCAATTGTTACCTCATGTCACTCTGTTAGTTTGGCAATCATAGGTGACGTCTAAACCCGACTGATAACATTCGCGATTAAAGAACGTGAGCTAAAACAAGAAACTACAGAAACGCCCGGAACACACAAAGCTGGAGCCTTACCACATTTTCCCTCGGATGAAAATTGAATTGCTAACTACAGAACACGTGATATTAGGGTAAAAGAATCCGGCGTCATTTCTTCGTTAATTTTAATCTCGGCGCGTTGGTCCCCCTATGAATTAGAGCCAATCAAAAGTGCGCCTTCAGTAAATAACCTCGCGAATCTTACACCCAATACATATAAATTTCTACTCGAACTTACTTTGGTTGTAAAAGCCTTCCTTCGGATAAAAAGGAAGGAGCTTCTTTTCTTCTTTTAATCTATTTGACTGAACTCTGTATTCGTTTAGAACCGCCCTACGGCGCAACTCAATAGATTTAACTGAGACCTTTCCCAATCTTTGCCTGTGCCTCGACCACTCTTTTGTATCTCTCGCTATCTATTATGCGTAATTCGCAAATGCCAATATAATCCCTTAAAGTGTTGCGAGGGATGTCAAATCGCCCCATAGCTTGTGTTTCTTGACCATAATATCCAGAACTGCCTGATATCTCTGATGGATCACTTGCAAATTGGATCGCGTAATTAATACTGAAAGAGAACGACAGAAATTCAATATCAGTATAAACAGATATTTGTCATTTTAAAAAAGCGCAATTATTTTGTGAGGTCTATCATCTTACAACCAAGAAATAAATAGGTGTGATAATGATTTTCTTTAATCAGTGAAAAAGAAGTTGAACTTTTGAAATACTAGTAACGTAAATGCATAGACGGTGTCGTGAGCATTATCCCGTCCTTCGTTTCACTGCTGCAATAAACAAAAAGTTTCCACTCATTTTGAAAATTGTTGCTAAAGTAGATGATACAGTCTCTTCAAGTCCCCACGGCCACTTTAATCGATCAAAATGGAAAGGCAATAGATAATGTCAAATTGATCATGGTGTGTGTGTGTGTGTGGGGAGGGGGGGGAAGAGGGTAGATTCGTGACTTCATGATTGGCCATTTTCGTGGTGTTGAATTGTGCTTAAGGGGTGGGAAGCAAGTCGGGATGTGCCCAGATACCCTGACGTAATGCTGCCAATCGGACCTGTTGCAAAAAAGGACATAATCGTTTTGAAATTTTGCGCGCTAACATTGAAACCTAGTACAACCTTTAAAACCTGATTGTGTCATTTAGCTGAATATCAAAGTCAAGTGTTCAGTAAATAACCTTCATAATAAACTATGAGGTGATAGGAGAGTGTTACCCACCGCAGCTTTGATATACCTGGCTTAAGTTCAAATTTTCAGTTAGTCTGAACATAGTTAACAGAGGAGATTGGTTACAAAGGCCGGCAAACATCAGAGGAGCAAACAAAGATTTCAAGATTTATGTAGGAAAGTCCATGACCATGCACAATCTTTTGTTTTTCGCTCATACACTATGCATGAATTACGTAACCGAAACGTTTCTATTGGTTAGTTCCTCAGTAAGTAGTAAACAACAATTATGTATTGTGCACGGTCAAGACCGAAAATCGAACAAAAAATACAGCAAAGAACTTTCTCGGGTTTCATAAACATTCCCCTCTATTAACTACGGTCTGAAGTGTCAGCGGTCTTCTGGTTTGTAACCTTCAGGAGGGCCTCAATGGGGTTAACCGTTAGCTGTAAAACTGGCCAAAAATTTAGTCGCTAGCAGCAAAAATTGGAAAATTTTAACCGTTAGCCGTAAAAAATGTTAACCGTAAAAAGTGAAAGTCTTAAAATCTCTTGTCAAGAATTTTTTGTGTCTTGTCTTGTGGCTTGGTAGTATGAGAAGAGCCGGGAGATTTAAGCAGTAAGCTATGTTAGTCTTCAATTGTTCCAATACCTTTTTCCACCCTGAAATGGTCCTAAGACCTTAAATATGTGTAGCAAAAACGAAAGTAAAATTTTAACTTTCGAGCGTCTTTGTGACGTTGCGAATGCTCTGTATCCAGGTGCTTCTTTGTAGTTCGCCCTAGGCCCCCAAAAGGTTAATCGTGATTTACTGAAAAAAGTTTCGTGAATCGTAATCGAAGTATGCTCCGTGAAATATGTGGTATTTGTGTACATGGGGAAGTCCATCTGAAAGTGAAGGGGCGATCGTCGTTACTTGAGGGGTTATAATTGGTGATTTGGTGATGAAACGACCACCGGTAGAATTTTCCTGGGACTGATGTGAACAGAAAAAATATTGTGGCTTTAGCTCTAAAAATTGGTACCTCTTACTGGTGTCTGTTAGGGCCTGGTTTTCTTCTAAAATTTCGGACGACTACCTCCGCACTCCCGTAACTTTTATGTGGGAATATTCCACACCTCCATTCCCGGGCGTAAGAATTACCCACGATGCTTTGCCTGTCAATGGAGTTTACCGCACGAGTTCTTGCTCAATTTTTTAGCGATGTGCTTTCCTTCTTATAAAAAAGTAATGCTAAAAAACTTCTTGAGAGATCGGCATAAAAAAATAAACTTGTACAATTGCAATGAAAATAGTCGGGATCGGCGGATTTGTATACCCCTATTCAACCTTCGTTCACGACTCACGTCTAATTCAACTCTTTATTCACGGGCAACGTTTAAATAAAAAATTTCGTTCAATTTGCGTGTGAAAATATCTTAAAATTGGGAATGCAAAAAAATAAAAGCTTTAATCACGTTTCGCAGGAATATGAGCAGCCTGAATTACACTAGTTACGATTCACGTGGAAAGAGTAAATAAACCTCAATTCTGTCATACTAAATAACATCTTAGCGCTAACGTTTGAAATGTTCAAAGTTCTCAGATATTTCGCCTTCCCTGTATCACTTGATCACGAGTGTCAAAATATTACTGAAATAGCAGTATCTAACCTGTTGTCAGTGTTCGCCTTTCGTTTCGAAACCTTGCACTCCTTCTCGGCGGGAA